ATAAGTGACAGAGCCAGGCTGGAGCCAGTCCATCAGCCCTAATGATTTTAAATGATTATGCCACACTCTCCTACTCTTTCCCTCATTGCTCCATCCCCTCTGTGTTTGGTAATGCATTCTGGGCTGAAAATGAAGAACAGAATTTCCCTTTAGTGCTTGTGACATGAAAACATGTCCAGCCATTTAAATGTCAGACAAGGCAACATGGCCCATTTGTTGCAGTTTGTCATCAGTAGAGAAATGTCGAAGCCGGCAGCTGAGTGTGGGAACAGTGAAAAAAAACATACAAAAAAAACACACACACACAGAGCTGTATCCGGGCATTTAAAGTAAAAATATCGACCTCTAAACAACAGCAATGAAGGACAAAACAGTGGGATTCAGATTTAAATGCTGACAAAGAAAAATCTAATTTTGAGACACAAGGAAACATATTCAAACTAAACCTCCACTGATACTGGATGCAGATTTATTTATATTTGCTGCATTGAATGGAAAATAAAAGTTGAAGGTGTGCGACGGTAATAAAACAGAATGGATGCTGAAATAGTTTGTGTTGTCATATAACCGAGGTACAGCTTTTATACAGAAAATATCGATGTCAATTTTCCAAATCGGTGACCTGTGAAGCTGTAAACAGCCAGGTTTGAATGATGACATACTGAACAACATATGTTGGAGCGTGCAGGGTAAGTCAATATTTGAAATACAGCCAAGGGAAGCACCAGGGAAGCCAAAATGATCTGGACGAGTTTTGTGTGTGTGTGTGTGTGTGTGTGTGTGTGTGCGTGGCATGCTAAAAAACAAGGGTTTTTTTGGGTTTTTTTTTTTTTTTTTTTAGTTCCGTTCTTTAATTTGCTGAGCAAAAGCTAGTTTTGGTGTTACAGATAATCGTGACATCAATGTTTTTAATGCTACCAACAATTTCCCTGTAAGAGTAGACTGTACACCATGTCTTATTGACGAAAACCCTGAAGAGGATCAGAGGGTCAGTCTGACACTTAGTTGTGTGTTCCTAATGTGTATCCCTTTATAAGGAAAGCTTTAATTTCAGCTGAAAATCAAAGGGCAGCAAGACAGACTGGGATCCCTGTTCCACAGTGAACACAGTGTGACGCCAGGAAACAGCCAGAGAGCAGGTGACAGGGATGGGGAGCCTAGGGTTGTGGTTATGGGCTGGGCTGGACAGAGACAAACACGAACACAAAGTGAAAGAGTGAGAGGGAGGGAGAGAGAGAGAGATAGAGAGAGATGGGCAGGGTAGATTAACATAAGTAATAGAAATGAGAAAAGAAGGAAGGCGAGGGAGGATTTGAGTTGATTGCAGTGAAAGTGCTGTTTCCTGTTTGTGCATTATTAATCCCCATCTGGTTTAATTACAAAAACATGTGGGTGCAGCTGCGGATTCACATGCCACTGGTATGCAACTTAAAATACCCATATCACTGATATCTGTGTTACTGAAGACAGACATCTGAAAGAAATAATCAAATGTAAGAACTATTTGTTTGTGACGGTGTATGTTGTTACATGTGTTGACATGCAGTGAAAACATTGCAATTACAACAAGATTATAAAAATTATACTTTGTTTGCAATAAGTGCAAACAAAAGACAATAAGTGATGAGTCATAAAAAATTGAATATGCTCACTTTTTTTTATAATGTTCATTGATCTGCTACAAAGAATACTGTCTTAAAGTATATTGCACATTATTCTGTATTTATGAATGAATTGTGTTAGTTCAACACATGTAGATTGATGCACAGTTATGTTTAAGACATGGTGAGAATTTGATTCAGTCATGAGGCAATTTGTATCATCTACAGTACATGATCAAAATATCAGTGAGGGAGGCTCCAGACACATGAGCACATTCACAGACAAATGTGTGTATGTGTGTCATTTTATTTATTTATTTATTTATTTTTACAGTGTTTTACACAAAAAGAGAGAGAGAGTTTATCTCTAGCACAATCTACACATATGCTCCCTGTGGTGGATTATTAATAGCAAATCAAAAACTTTGTTTCCATAGTGACTGTTTGAGTCCATTATGGAAAGTGTCTCCTGTTGTTACCAAGACAACAATCCAGCAATGGCAAACGAATGTGGCACACAGCTGATGCGATGAGCTGGTGATTTCTCCATAAACAAGCTCAGCATCAAACCGGGGGCAGGTGGAGAACTGAGGAGATGACGGTGACAGTGTTGAAAGGATGGGCGAGCATTTTCATGTATGCACCCATCAGATGTGCTTATACACTTTTTCAACTTCAGTTTGATGTGATATTCCTGTATTCACCTGTACGTAACATTCTACTGTTGTCAATGTACATGTGTTCGGCATATGCTGCCATTATGACCACTATGATCCTGTAATTTAGCCACTGATTATTTGGCCTTTGCAGCTCTTTTTTAATTTTTGTAGCAATGTTTGTAACTGTGATGAAGCTACTCCAGGTTTCAAGTTCTTTTCATTAGGTGCTCACAATATATTTCCTACCCTCTATGCATCAGTGATTAAAGAGGCTGGAGAGGCTTCATGAAGTCACAAAACAAGCTTAGGTTTCATCTTGGATTTAGTTAGTGTTCACAGACTTTAATCCTAGACTAACAAGGATGTGGGTGTATGTAAAAGGTGCTTCAAGTGAGACACCTTAGATAAACATCCTGTCTTATGACACTCTCCATCCATGATAAGCAATCATAAAACAAAGAGTAGTGGGATTACAAGTGATATTTAACTGTTGTGCACTCTCATGGCAATTTGTTCTTTGAGAACAAACTAGGATCCAAATTGCTTCTGCCAATTTGGAAAAGCTGGGCAAATGCTTCACTGTGGGATGGATAGCAGGACCATCTTGACAGGAGGACAAAGTCAACCCCGGGAGGAACTCAGGAGGACAGAAATGCTCCTGTCTTGGTGATGGAATATGCTCTATTGCTGTGAGTGCCAAATTACATTTGGATTTAGACAAGTGTGCTGTATAGAACAGAATGAGGTTGCTTTTCACTTGCATAAATACAGCATAGACTGCCATATAAGACGGGCTAAGGGGGATGCAGGGAATTAGTTAAGGTTCTACAGATGACAAGCAGTAAGAATGCTGCCATCATGCCCTCCACAAATGGAGAAAAATGGATAAAATACACACATGCACGCACGCACGCACGCACGCATGCGCGCACACACACATACACACACATACACACACATACACACACACACAATGTCCTCAAAACTTAAGAGGTTTAAGAGAGATTCCAAGGCACCAAGAAAAACAGAACAGCAAATAGGGTGACACACAGCACAAAGACACAGCCAACAGGAGTCAGGGCAAAATACCACAACAGTATCCTGCAGTAATGCTCTTCTTCTCAGAACTGTTGATATGGGATTCACCTGCCGATGTCCTGCAATGAGGCAAACACTGTCTCACATGGTCATTATCATCAACCTCTCGTTTTAGGACCAATTCAACACTGAAACCCTTTGATTAAAATGAATTACCATGGACCCATACCAGTCCAAGTACAAAACCATAAAGAAACTGTTATTATGTGGCTATAGAGAAGAAGTGGGTCTGCAAACTTAAACATTAGCAACTTCAGCAGAACTACTCACAGGACTGGATACAACTACCGATGCATTACTATATTGAGCTACTTCCCAACATGCTGACAGAGGTGTACATTAAGACTACCACAGCAAAAAGAAAACTCATCCTCAAAATAAAAATAAAACCCATGCTTCACAGTGAAAAAGCAGCCATTCCCCCTTAACCAGTGTCTCCCACTCACTATGCTACACATACATAAACACACAGTGAAAGACAGAGAAGCTACAATCCAAGATTGGGACTTATGGCAAAAGAAGTGACAAAAATCTCACTAACGGTGTTGGAAATAAAGCAAAGTGCAGACGGGATACCTTATTTCTTGCTTTCAAATTAGCAACAGCATCACTCAGGTTTCATATGGAAAAACTTGTGATACAGTTATTTTGGCCAGTGTAGCTTTATAAATTACTGTTGATTTGTTAGGTCTAGTTAATTGTGTCTTTGTGCATTATTCTTGAGAGTTACCAGTTTATTAAGTACATCTGTAGAATCTAATCTAATCTTTGTCAAGTGTGTTGTTGACTCTGTGTCAGAGGTGTTGATAATTTATAAGGCTGTATATTTAGTGGTGCTGCTTCACTGTGAACTGCATTTCCTTAATTGGCATTATAATGTTCCATGTACATGCAGGGAGCGGAATATTAAATATATCAATTATATTAAACTAAATGTAATGCTGTGTGGCTTGTTTGTTGACAGTGTCATAAAGGTAAATCAGCACCGTTCTGATGAAAGAAAAATGTCACATGATCTTTAATGCTGTTCAGGACACATCCTGAACCAAAAATGACTTCCCTGGATAAATGCAGAATCCAGAGGAAATATTTTCCCAGCATCAAGAGACTGTCTTAATGGGTTTAAATATTGTGTTTTAAATGTTTTTAAAGAAAGAGATTTTGTAGAAGTCTCTAAGTATTTGTGTCAATACTGCAATAAGAGTCAACTTAGAGTCAGGAGTAGCTCAGAATAAACATATTTCCAAAAGTGGCACATTGACAAAATACACCAGGACCTTGTCAGGAGGTTAGATTCACAGTAATAAATTCATCGCCAATCACTTCTCACTAAACAGAGATATATCCAGTCATTCAGCAGCGATAATTATCTATCCAAATACTTGCATAATGATCAATTCAATACAAAAGCCCTGGGATCAGAAACAAAACAAATGCAAATTTTCTGTCTATTGTCCATCTGAGAGAACATCTCACAAATACACATTAAATGCATCATTAAATATGTAAAAACACACACCCTTTATTCAAATCATGCCAATGTTTCCCAGAGTGTGAAAAAGCCATCATGCAAAGCTGAAACACAAGGGTTTTTTTTTTTTTTTTTTTTTTTTTTTTTTGCCGCTGGCACTGACACACTTACGTTCCCAAGACGTCTTTGAAGTCATACTTCTCCTTCACATCTGTGGTCTTCTTTTTCCAGGCATGGCAATCGTCACCCAGTGGCATCTTCTTGTTGTTACGGTCAGAAACAATACTAGTGAAGAAAAAGGGGATAAGGAGGAAATGCTCCATTAATACCAACACTTAAACAGCCTCCATCCGACCACCTGCAGTCAATAAAATCAATAAAAAATATTATGGATTACTGTGGATTATCAGTTATTATCAATGGATTCTTAATAGTGTTTTCCATTTGTGTTGACTCTTTAATGATATGCAATACATGATGGCAGCTGAGAAATATGGATGCCCAAAAAACATCCAGCATAGCCTACATTGTAAGATATGGCAGGTTTATTTGTATAGCATCTTTCAAACACAGAGGCAATTCAACATACTTTACATTAACCATGTGTGATAACTGCTAACTAGTGGCAGGTCCAGGTGAGGTTGCTGGGTGGCCATTATTATGTTGTTGTGTTGTGAATATCTTGATGACTGGGGTTTGCATTAGCCTTGTGAGTAAGTATGGGATGGGGTGAATATTTGGCAGCATTTCCTGCTTCCTCTCAAATACCATTTTCACACACAAAACATATCGTATGACACATGATGTTGAACATAGGCTCAGGCCACATTTCATCCGTTCAATCCACCCAGTGTTGTTGTTACTTTAGAGAATGAACATGGGAGACAGTGTAGAGGATCTACTCTAAATGTAAAAGATTTATTTTCTTTACTTGGACTTGTTACAAAGGGTTCTTTATAATCAACAAGAGTGGCATTTATGGCAGAGAGGCTAAAAGTCATGTGTAATATCTACTAGGTTAATAAGTAAACTACAGTTTCAACATGAGTTCAAGTGTATAGTGCTCAGTGTGAGAGCTGCATGGAGCCCTGGTTGTGAGCTGGGATGTGGGCCCACATCACATAACTCAGCAAGATGAATTCCTAAGAACCAGGATGAAAGAAGCAAAGAACCAAAATAAAGCTTGTCTGTCTATGATGTGTCAGCTTATCTGTGATAGGTTTGCATCTTTACTGAGCCTTTATAATGCTCAAGTTTAAGTGAGGTGCAACAAATTAGCTTTGCAACAAAATAGGCCAACGTATACAGAATAAATACACTGCTACCTTTAAGAGTTGGAAAATGACACAGTGTAGATTTTTTTGGTTTCTTCCTTTTCCCTCGCTGTTGTCTCACTTGTTCATTATTTCTCAGGAGAAGTTAACATTCAAATGTTTGTCCTCACCATTCTCTCAAGAGTGGGAGTGATCACAAAGGACCCTGCTGTCACAGCTATCATCATCTAAACCCAGAAAGTGCCTATAACTCAAGACCTGAAGGACTAAAATAGCCCTGTTCATATCAGCATGCCTCACTCCTCCTCTGTTCCTGCTGCCTGCCTGGCAACTTCACAGGCTGTCTATATGAGATGATGTAACATATTGTTCTGGACTACACACGTGCTGTTTTGTTAAAGACAATATAATAGCACAGTTAATCATATCAGTTAGTTCGCAGTCAGCTCATTTAAATGCTGAACCGTGTGTATGAGTGGCATTAAGTGACAGACAGCGGTTGGCTTAACACTGCGGTTCAGTTATCTCAGAATAAATGTTAATAGGACATGGCCTCCTCCAGTTGCACTGAGGAACACACACACGCACGCACGCACGCACGTGCACGCACGTGCGCGCACGCACACACACACACACACACACACACACACACGGTGGCCCTGTTGCTGCCTTGACTAATGTCAAAAGTCGGCTTCATACGTGTCGTCATGGAAACCCAAAGGCGCTGCTATGGTATCTGAGAGTCTACATTGCTTTAGTGTCTAATGGCAGGTGGCAGCTAAGGTGGAAATCATTCTGGTCACTTCGATGAGTGGCTGCAGTGTGTTGTATGTTTAGTTTAAAAAAACTGCACGAAAGGATTAGAAGAGCATATCACACACAAGAGGCAGTGAAAAACAAGAGATATAACCTGATCAGGTTATACATGCAATACATTAACTACGCTTCCAGATGACATAGAGGAGGCACTGTCTTATTTTAAAAG